ATATTTGAGAAACACTAAACTGAAAAAATAAGTTAGGTCCACCCTTAAGGTCTGTGAGGGATGTTTTCTTTTTCTTTAGAAGGACTCCCTCTATGACTTTTCCTACAAAATTGTACATAAGCATTTTCCACAATATAGGCCCCAACCCTGTGGCCAATTGGGACCTGGCTTCCCTAGCCAAGAAAGGTACCCGTTTCTCCGGGCATGAACTCTGTCCACTGATAAACTTGCCTATGGGATAGAGATTGTTTCTCTCAGAACCAGCAGTGCTCAAGCTTCAAGGTGGGCATGGACTTTGAGGTGCACGGCCGATGTGAACCGCATGCTGATGTGAACATCATGGCCGATGTGAACACACGGCCTATGTGAACCGAAGCTGATCTTGTTTGCAGAGCTCCAGAGGGAGGGACGCTGGGAAGAGGTTGCTGAGACTTGGCCTTTATCAGCAAGTTTTGCTTGGCTCACTATCAGCAAGTTTTCTGCCCTAAACAAGCAGTCTCTAGACTTGAGCAAGCAGATACAGGCTGCTTACCTGGACAGGTGGGCGGGCATCCAGTGGGACAGTGGATTAGATATATTGATCCTGGAGCAATATGACCCCCTGACCATTTGTTAAAGATGCTGGTAACAGCTGGTGAGGCCTGGCAGTCTGCCGTGTTCTGGGACCATCGGCAGCATCGTGATCCTGCCTGGCTTTCTCACTCCTCAGCTTGGCTCTCTGTGCTTGGGCAGCGCCGGGAGCCCGGGCAATAGGCAGCAGGCGAGCTGAGAGCTACACTGAGAGATCCAGCCATCAGCTAGGGCCTCTTTGGGAAAACAACACTGGAATCTGCAAATATGCTAAGACCGCTCCCGGCCTCCCCCCCATTTATGCCAATAGGTGAGACCCCATTTCGTGACTGCCCAGGCTCCAGGGGTGGGGAGGCCCAAAATATTGTGTCTATTTCCTTCTCTCAATATAAGCTTCAAAGGCCAAAGGTCATGACATTCATCAGGCACTTGCTCAATGTCCGTCAGCTTCTTCTTCCTGCCTCCCTCCCTGCCTTCCAAGAAGCGAACCACAGGGTATGTGTCCAAATGTACTTGTTGAGCTGGACTGAATGGGCCTCTAGAGTGTGGTCCCCATACTCAGGTCTAGGAAACTTGCCTGATAAGTGGCAGAGCAGAGGGGCCAAGGGACTCGGCTTCGTGATTCCGGAGAGGAAGGGGCAGCGGATAAGGAGTGGACGATCTGCCCGCCCAGCTGCCGACCCGGAGCTCAAATCAAAGCAAGAGGCTGAAATGCTGGCCATGCGCAGGGCTGGGCACCTGAGGCAGCCACCTGGCAGGTCCCAGATTTCATCGGCCACCTGGTTCCGGATCAGGCTCCAGGGCCTCCCAAGCCCATCCCCGCCCCGGCCAGCTGCCCCTCAGCCCTTCTCAGAGCAGCAGTGTGGGAGGAGGAGAAACAGCATGCCAGTCAGGGACAGCGCCCTCATCCCAGCTCTGGGAGAGTCCAGGGCTGCCCGGGCCTGACTCCTGCCCTTTGTGAAATGGGGATACTTTGCGAGAACGGTGGGAAAAACATCAGCTGAATAAAAGATGGTTTCAGAAGCCCAAGTAAAGAGGCTTTGGAGTGGCTGCAGTTGGTGGCTTCGGGCCCAAATTGTGCTTTCCCAGCCTTTTCTATTTCCTCCTTTTCCAGCCACCAGAATGAGCATAAAAACACATTGGAGAAATAGCACATATAGACGCAAAGACATCGGCTTTGGTAGCTTGGACATGACTCAGGAATGCCATCTGTGGTATTTTTTGTCCTATAAATTGAGGGGGGAAATAGAGAAAAGAGAAAGGAATAGTCACCAGACAGGGGAGGGGGGAGTAGTTGGGAGGGGCAGGGTGATGGGATGAGGGACAGCCGGAGACAAGCAAAGGTTGTCAGAACTCAGCTGCCTCTGCAGCATCACTTGTGCAGCTGAGAGTGAGGTAGACTAACCTGTCCCTTCTCAAACCACGGGTGGTGCCGACTTCCAACCAAGAAGTATACCATTTCCCTCGAGCCCCAAACTTAGAGCCTGCTGCCCACAGTCTCTGGAACTTCCCAATTCCTCCGAAGGACCAGGGACCCCAGACTCCCTCAGGGACCTGCTTCTCTTCTCTCCTCCACCTCTGGCTTCGTTAGTTTCTCTTCTCTGCCTTGGCTCGTGGCCTGCCACCCCACTGGGACCCTGCAGGGCAGAGGGTGCTGACTGGGGATACCGGCCTCATGCTCTGGCCAGTTTCCCAGGTTTCCTCACCTTTGGGAGGAGCCCCAGTGTGACAGCCTGTGCTGATATGAACAGATAGCCCAGACCCCTTGGATGCTGAACCAAGGGCGAGAGCACATATTGGTGCCTGGAGGCAAAAGCCTCCCCCAGCCCTGAACCAGCTCCCCCACACCTCCCCCAAACAAGGAGGCCACCCAAACATCCTGTCCTGCTGCTGGTGACACTCAACAAGAGCAGTGTTTCTCTTGGGAGTCCCAGGCACTTCCTGCTGTCGTATTCTGGGGGTGCAGCCTGAGAGCACAGGTGAGCCCAATGTGCCATGAGCGTGCCAAGTGCTGAGGTCTGGGCTCCCATTCCATCAGCCGGACCTGGCTTTGGACCTTGTGAGAACAGAGCAGGTCCTTGGGCTTCTTTGGTCTGAGGCAGTCTTGGCCCATTTCCTGTCGGAGGGAGGATCCCATGGGGCCCACTAAGACCCTCACAGGGATTTGGGCTCAGTCTCAGCTAATGGTCAAAGAGGATGATGCTGTCCTTGAACTTCCACAGTAAGACCCACACGGGAGTGAGAATGGCTCGGTCAGGGCAGGACTCTTCCCGAAGCACCACCTTGTGATATGACCTCAGCGTCTCCAGGACCCGACATGGGACCCATGGGGCTTCATCCTTTTCACTTCACAGTTACCCTCAGACTCTGATATTGAAGTCTGATGGATTCATTACCAAGCAACAGCATGTTCCAGCAATGTGCTTGTGGACCCCGATTCTCGTAGAACCAACAGAAAAATGGCAACTGGTCAGCATATCTGTGTGTCATGTGACACCAAAGGAGATGGGCCTTCCTGGCCTCCTCAAGGGAAAGAGGCGCGGCTGTCCCAGCCTAGGGGCCTCCCATTTCTTCCATAAGCATTTCCAGGACAGACGGCCTGGCGCCTCTTCAGATTTCACTCTTCCGTGAACAGAAGGGCAGATGCTCCCACCACAACTCCATGGCCTCCAGAGGTGGGAGTCGACGCCTGGCAGCAGGAGGGGACAGATCTGGATGGCTCAGCCAGGTCGCCCCCAACCCTCCTCTTCCTTAGAGGTTCCTGCACCAGCCTGACCCTCCTAATCCGGCAGGGGGCCTAGTAAGCCACTGCTGGAGGTCAGCTTGTCCTGCTTTGGGTTCGAGGCGAAGGCCAGTGCAAGCGCAGGCTGGATTTGTCTCAGCTCCAGGCTGTGAGGGTTTTTGAATGTAATAAGACCGAACCCCCAAACCAAAGGGGCCCTCCGCCACATCCCAGGAACTCCCCGAACTCCAGGTTCTGGAGAAATCAAGAAGCAAACAAGGGAAGTGCTCACATGTATTTATTTCACAAAGGGGAGATGGAGTGGGCTGACCACCAACAAGATGCCACCAAATGAGACATATGAACCCTAAACTGGACAACTACAGGGTTTGGTTCTGGGCAGGGCTTGACCTTTGGGGACAGCATGAGGGAGAGGAATGGGAACTGGCAGAAGGACAGCCTTCTGTCTGGGCACCACACGGGCAAGGCTGAGCCACATCCTTCTGGCCACATGTGTGGCCACCCCCACCCCCCAAGCTTCTCAGCAGCCTTGTCCTGATCCAGGTAAGCGATGAAGCGCAAGCCCAAAGCCAGACTTCTACGTCTGCTCTACCACACTCACACGCACCCAGACGCACAGGCCACGTGGCATCACACATGCACACACGCACATGCAGCTGCACACGCCCTGCCACACGCACCACACAGGCACACATACTCATACGCATGCACACAGGTCCATATATTAACTCTGATTTATAAGTGCACCCTAACCAGAGGGCAATCGAAAAAAATTATTACTCTTCAGAGAGGAATCGACTGCCTTCTCCCCTGTCAGCCAGTAGAGCGTGGGCTGAAATGAGATGAGCACAGAGCAGACCCCAGGGTCCTGGCCCCCTTTGCTGTGCTGGCTCCAGTCCGTAAATTCCAGTTCCCTCCCTGCTCCCCCTGCAGCAGCCTCTGAGTCAGGGCTCCCTGTTCCCCGGGCAGGCGAAGCGGCACTGGCCTGGCTCCAGCCTGGGTTCCTCACAGCTTAGCTTGCTCTGTGTGCTCAGCCGATTCCTGTCTCAGCTCTCCAGGCACAGGCAGAAGAGCTGGCCCAGGAACATAGGAGCCTAGTCAATGCGCAGGCGACCATGGAAGTGTCAGCTCCAGGCCATTGGGGCGGGGGAGGGGTGGGACCAGAAAAATCCAGAGCTGTGGCCCCCAGTACCACCTAATGGACAGGTTTAGGCTGGAGGCTGCCTTGGTTGTGAGAGGACATCTGGGCAGAAGCAACCTCAGGGGAAACTGAGTCTCGAGGCCTCACTGTCTCCTCTGAGCAGGGAGAACTAGGATGTGGCTGAGCTCCTCCCCCACTTTATTGAGGGCTGGGGTGGAGTTCGAAGCTGCTGCTGTAAGAGATGAGAAAGAGGAGAGGCCCTGCCAGTCCAGTCCCGATAGTGGGTGGGAAGGTGAGGACAGAGATGTGGATGCTTCACTCCTCGGTGCCAGGTCCACATCTGGGCTGCAGAAGACACAGCGCCTGGGTTCCCAGAGAAGGGTGGGGGCAGGGCGCTTCCCCAGGGTGCAGGAGCTGAGTGCCTGAGGTGGACACAGCGTCTCCATCTGGCCC